TGAAGCTAGCCCTTCTCGTTGAGTCTTCTGCAGTTGTCAAATGAGTTGTGAAAAGTTAAATACGAGTCAAACAACAACAGTCAGAGACGCAAGTTGAATATAAGCAGCAGATATCAAAGGCAGTATTTCAATGAGACTGTTAGACAGGTCTATAATTAGCAGTAGAACAACAATCTGCACAGAGTAACGTAGCGTGGGCCTAGAGCTGCTCCAGATGTTAATGCATATCACTGAGAATAAACAGCTGCGCGTTGCTATCACTAACAACGTGCACAACTCTTCACTGAGTCATAACCATCCAAACTCTGAGCAAAAACAACTTGTTCTACTCACGTAGCAAAGCAAACACTTCTGAACACAGCCACGAAGCAAAAACCATTAATGAGTTATTAAACAAATCCCACACACCATGAAATAAACGTGTTTCATGGGTTTATGTTTGCTAACATTTGTTCTGTACATCAAACTGAACCATGTTTGTGTTACTGCTTCAAAAAGCCGAAACTTGATATTCTACACTGTAGAAATACAAAATAATGTATAATGGTAAAAAAAAAAATCATAATGCATTTTCTGGATTACTCAACCCAACTGACGGAAGGATTAAACAAAAACATTTTCTGGATTTGATTTTAGACATCCATCCATCCATCCATTATCTTTACCCGTTTATTCCATTTTGGGTCACGGGGGTCCAGCAATCACTGTCGCAAGTCCATCACAGGGCCACATAGAGACAAACGAGACAAACAACCATTCACTCTCTCACTCACACCTAGGACAATTTAGAGTTACCAATCAGCCTAACATGCATGTTTTTGTCTGTGGGAGGAAACCGGAGTACCCGGAGAAAACACACGCATGCACGGAGAGAACATGCAAACTCCACCCAGAAGGCCCCTGGACCGGGGTTTGAACCAAGGACCTGTTCGCTGAGAGGCAGCAGCTCTACCAGTTGCGCCACCGTGCTGCCCTGATTTTAGACAATCAAATAACATTTCCGTACTAATGCCATCTGATCATAGCCACTCTGCTCAAACTCAAGGTAAATCTGAATAAGTCAAACTGCATTTCAGTCATGACGTCCAGCATAACTGTGTTACTGAGAGTCAGCGCCAAGTAAAACTAGAGGTGTTGCTCATTTCTGTTCAGTTTCCACAATGTTTCTGGTATAAAGAAAAAAAGACATCAAGGATCACTGAGCTACCACAGCCCTCTGTGTGGAGCAGAGAGCTGCTACCTAAAAGCACTCGGGGGGAGCAGATGGTGGAGGTTAAGGACCTTGCTCAAGGGCCCAAAGTGGGGTGAATGAGTGTGCATTCACACTAGCCCTGTTTAGTCCGCTTTAATCGAACTCTAGCTCGTTTTCCTAGAAAGTCTGGTTCGTTTAGGGAGGTGTGAACGCACCATCGAACTCTGTCACGGAACAAAAAGGTGAACTCTGGCCCGGGCTAAAACCTAGGTCTCGGTCCGGTAGAAACAAACTCCAGCGCGGTTCGAGTACAATGTGAATGTAAACGACCGGGCCCTGCTCCGCAGGACAAACAAACACGCATTTCTCTTACCTTATATGGAGCCGTCAGCTGCCTTGTGTGGAAAATCAATATTCTCCATGGTCTTCTGTCTCATCTTCTGCTCATGCTGAGTCCATTTTTGAAAAATGACAAAATATAACTCCTAAAACTGCTAAAACTTGATGCCACTTCGTTTTTATTTTTATTTCCAGAAGAAGAAGAAGACATGTCTTCAGAGGTTTTTGTGTTGTTTCTTTCAGTAGTTCTTGATGCAGCGCCCCCACAGGTGAGCGGGGGAATAGGTTGGTTCAACAGGTTGACTCAACTGCACAGTGCAGTGTGAATGCAAACGCACCAGCTCAAATGTAAACAAAAGGTCTTGAATATTGGTCCCGAACCGAACCGAGTCTACCGGTTACTACTAGTTTCTACTAGTGTGAAAACGACCTGAGAGTGGAGGCAGGTGTGGGTACTTCATGCCCCCCCCACCACCACCTTTATGTTGTTGGTCTGGGGGGTCAAACTGGCAACCTTCCAATTACTGGTTCATCTTCTCTAACCTCTGCACCACCACTACCCCCAAGTTTGTGACCATAGGTAAGGGTAGAAATGTAGTCCGACTGATGAACAGAGAGGTTTGCCTTCCAGCTCTGCTTCTTCTTCACCACAATAGACCTGTACAGGGTACCCAATACTACAGAAGCTGCAACCTTCCATCCTTTGATCTAACACTCCATTCATTCCTCACTTGTGAATAAAACACCAAGATGTGTAAACTCCTCCATTTGGGGCAGCATCTCACTTCCAACCAAGAGACAGGAGTCCACTCTTTTCTGACTCACGACAGTGTCCACAGATCTGGCAGCACTGATCCTCATCCCAGCCACTTCACAATCAAACCACTGCAGTGAGAGCTGAATATCATGGCACGATGACACCAACAGGACTGAATCATCTGCAAATAGCAGAGTCACTGAAACAGACTTCCTTTTACCCCTTGAATGCACTGAGAACTTCTGTCCATAAAAGCTATAAACAGAATCAAGCCCTATCAGAGTCTGACTCTCACCCTGAAGGGGTTTGGCTTACTGCGGGCAATACGAACCAAACTCTTGCACCACTTGTATAGGAACTGAATGATGACTGAATGATCCAAAGCAACACAGGACCACAATCCCATACTCAGGGAGCACCCCCCATAGTGTAACTTGTAGACGAGGATGGCCCCCTTGAGAGGCACTAACAAGCTTGTGGCCACAGCTCAAAGCAGCCATCTTGACAATGAAGGAGTGAAACATGTCCTCACCTCCACTGGGATGTTGTTGAAACTCTGTCAGAGGTGGGAGTTTAAAATCTCTCTGGCAGGTTCTTCGGCCAGACGTTCCCAGCAAACCCACACTACACAGCCTCCCATTGTGGTCTATCTCAGTTAAGTAATGGTCAATAAAAACAAGTACACCTTCTTTTAGATAAACAAAGTGATTGCCTATGACCACTGTGTTATTTAGTTGTATCACTTTACCCGTCCGTGATACTGCACCATTTCACCTTGAGTAAATGTCAAGTTGTTTAAGTTGAGAAAGGCCACGGCAGCTGTCAGTCACTGTCTAAAAAAGTTAAATCTGGTCCTCTGGATATTCAAAAAACAAAACAAAGCAAAACAAACAAAAAAATTGTAGAAACGTTTTGTCTTTCATCCAAAAGACTTCCTCAGTCTGAGGTGCTGTATTTAGTCAGTCTTATAAATAGCACCTTCTCAGAGTGGATCAACCAGTTTGCTGCTGACAACCAAAACCAGCTGCGCACATGATCAAGAAGAACCATCAGCCTAATGATGGCTCATTAGCACACTGATGGCTGTTTACTATTCACAGAGGGCTGAGTGATACTAGCAATCACAGCATTGTAAGAGGGGGACAGTTGAACACGGAGGCCTCCACCCCGTTTAATGATGGACGGTTTCTTTTCACAAAGATGGCCTCTACTCCTCTCTCAAACCATCGTTCCTCTTTATCCAGAATGTGAACATCTTCATCACTGAACGAGTGACCGCTGGCCTGGAGATGAGTGTAGACCACAGAGTCCTGGCCTGATGATGTTGATCTTCTGTGCTGGGCCATCCTTTTGGCCAGTGGTTGTTTAGTTTCCCCGATGTAAGACTGATCACAACCCTCCTGACACTGAACAGCATACACAATATTACTCCGTTTGTGCCGGGGCACTGGATCTTTGGGATGAACCAGTCTTTACCGTAATTTATTTTGGGGTTTAAAAGCCACGTCAAGGCTCTCTTTTCTACCTCCTCCATGTACAGGTTGGCAACAATAGGAGAAACTGGAGACCCCATAGCACACCCATGTTTCTGCCTATAATATTGCTCCCCATATGTGAAGTAGGTTGACTGCAGGCACAGTTTTAAGAGTTGACACAGTTGTTCAGTGGAAAGCGTGGTCCTGCTGCTCAGAATGGTGTCTGATTTTAATCTTAAACTGACCACCTCTACTGCATCATCAACAGGAATGCATGTAAAGAGTGATGTGACATCAAAAGAGACCATTGTTTCATCAGTCTCCATGATGACATCCCTCACCTTGTCCACAAAGTCCATGGTGTTCTGTATGTGGTGTTCTGAGCTTCCAACTAAAGGGATGAGTACAGACGCCAGATATTTGGAAACATTGTAAGTGACAGAGTTAATCATGCTAACAATTGGTCTTAAAGGTACACCTTGTTTGTGGATTTTACAGTGGCTTTTAAACCCCAAAATAAATAACGACAAAGACTGGTTCATCCCAAAGATCCAGTCCCCAGGCAAAAACAGAGTAATATTGTATATGCTGTTCTGTGTCAGGAGGGCTGTGATCAGTCTTACATCGGGGAAACTAAACAGCCATTTGCCAAAAGGATGGCCCAGCACAGAAGAGCAACACCATCAGGCCAGGACTCTGCAGTTTACACTCATCTCCAGACCAGTGGTCACTCGTTCAGGGATGAAGATGTTCACATCCTGGACAGAGAGGAACGATGGTTTGAGAGAGGCGTAAAGGAGGCCATCTTTGTGAAATGAAATCGTCCATCATTAAACAGGGGTGGAGGCCTCCGGGTTCAACTGTCCCCCTCTTACAATGCTGCTATTGCTAGTATCACTCAGCCCTCTGTGAATAGTAAGCAGCCATCAGGTGGTAATGATCCATCATTAGGCTGATGGTTCTTCTTGAGCATGTGATCAGCTGGTTTTGGTTGTCAGCAGCAAACTGGTTGATCCACTCTGAGAAGGTGCTATTTAAGAGACTGAGCTGAATACAGCACCTCAGACTGAGGAAGTCTTTTGGATGAAAGACAAAATATTTCTACAATTTTTTTGTTTGTTTTGCTTTGTTTTGTTTTTTGAATGTCCAGAGGACCAGATTTAATTTTTTTAGATTTTTCTACCTGGATTATTGAGCATGCATCAGGGTGTCAGTCACTGTGTTTTATCTCTAACAGGTGGTGGAGAGTGATGAAGAGGAGGAACTAACCCAGACTATTAGAGAAGAAGGGGATGAAAGTGACCAGTTTGAAGTCATCCAGCTCTACTCAGAAAAGGCTACTATCTCCAACCTGGGCTCCTCTGGAACAGGGGGGGCAGTGTCCCTCAGCACCAACCCTGCTGAAGCAGTACTGCTGCTCGTCCTTCTCCTAACTGCAGCCCTCAGCTGGGGGTAGAACAGTGGACAACACACATTCACACACACGCAAATAAAATGGCTCCGCCAACAACTCCGGACTGATCGCTCAAGAGATGGACTTGACTCTTTGTCCGAAGCATCACGCTCATTTTCTGTCTTCTGTCTCTGCTTCGATCCTTCAAACATGAAAACTGTCTCTTTGTTGAGTCTGACTGCAGCTCTTCTGAGAGCACACCAGTAACAGTCATCGTAGGGTAACCAGTCTCACCCACACATCTATCTGTTCTACATGCATGATTGGCTCACATTAGCCCCCTGACAGAAATTGTTCATTTAAAGTCTGATAATGTGAACATTAGCAGACTAAACAAAATGCACAAATCTCCTCCAAAGGTTTAAGAGTGACTGCCACCAGATTAGCTGACATACCATAATGTGAGAATGAAATCCAACGCTTCTATGAGAGTTGCTGTGTGACGGAGCAAAATGCTAAACAACAATAGCTGACCTTGGCTGTATTTCCCGCTCATAATGTGCCTGTAAGACCACACACACTGACAGGAAGTCTGAGTGCTGCTTGGTTCGAACTGCGCGGTTTTATTTATTATTATCACTTTTACAAATCAATGTACAAGAGTCTTAATGGTGTGTTAGCAAACCAATGGCTATAGTGCTGCAAAGACTTTACAACAGACAGTTTTAATTACAGCAAAAGATAAAGCATGAGGATTCCTACTTTTATTTAATAACAATTATTTATTAAGAACGATATTTTTTTGTCATGTAAGAAGGTTGATTCATTGTGAATGAAAAATGAGTTATCCTTCATGTTTTACTGATGGTCTAAAAAGTCACACTACAAAAGTGTTAATTGTTTTAATGAAATTAAAAAAGTCAAAAGGTTTTATTGGCGTTACTGTATTGCTGTAATAATTAAACCCAAGAGACAAGTTAGAACAAAACCACCAGCTACGTTCTGTAGAATCCACAGTAAAGCTACAATAACAAATATGTTTAGTGAGGGTCTGAGTCTTCAAGATTCCTTAAACCCATTATGATGTGATCTGATGGGATCTGTGGGGGACAAGGTTTGCAGAGACCCCTACCTCACAATTAATTAAGCTAATAGCATTGATGCTAAAGTTTTGGTACCAGACACTCCTGGACACCACCAGTATGTATTTATTTTATTTTATTCCTGACTGGTTGTAGCTATACTTCCAATCCCTCCCTCAGACCCAAAACGTCCCTTTTAGGGTTGGTGGTGACAATAAATTGTCTTTAAGTGTGAGTGAGAGCGTGCATGATTGGTTGTCTCATTCGTCTGTATGAGACCCCATAATGGACTGGAGACGTGTCCAGGGTGTCTCCTGCCTCTCGCTCAATTACTGCTGGAGATAGACTCAAGCTCCGTGTGACCTGGAAAACAGATGGATGGATGGATGAGTGAATGGATGGACAGATGAATGGGTCTGTTTTGTCAGTATGAGGATCCTGGTTTAATCTCATATGATTAAAGCTGATCAGTGTTTGTCCATCTATTGAAAAATTGTTGTTTTTTACATTTTCCAACAGATACTTTAAACAGAGCAAAATAAAACCATCATCCACAGTTAAGTTGGTCATTACTAAGTGCAAACTGGTCATTACCAGAACCAAATGTTCGTTGCCAAGTACAAACTGGTCATTACTAGATACAACTTGTCATTGCTAAGTACAATCTGGTCATTGCCAAGCTCATACAAGTCAATACCCATCACAAAAATCTGACTCTGACCCAGAACAAACTGGTCATTATTCAAGGCTAACTGGTCGTTACTAAACACACACATTTGTTATTAACCAATGCAAACTGGTCATCCATCCATCCATCCATTCATCCATTATCTTTACCCGCTTCTTCCATTTTGGGTCACGGGGGTCGCCGGTGCCCATGTCCAGCAATCACTGTGCAAGGGGCGGGGTACACCCTGGACGGGTCGCAAGTCCATCACAGGGCCACATAGAGACAAACAACCATTCACTCTCTCACTCACACCTAGGGACAATTTAGAGTTACCAATCAGCCTAACATGCATGTTTTTGGTCTGTGGGAGAAAACCCACGCATGCACGGAGAGAACATGCAAACTGCACCCAGAAAGGTCCCTGGACTGGGGTTTGAACCAAGGACCTGCTCACTGAGAGGCAGCAGATCTACCAGTTGTGCCACCGTGCTGCCCGCAAACTGGTCATTATCCATCAAATACTGGGAATTATCCAGAGCAACATGGTAATTATACAGTACAATGTGATCATAACCCAATTCAAACAGGCCATGAGTTCGAGTTCAAGTTCAAGAATCTTTATTCATCATCATCATTTACTTTATTTCAGACACAATATAAGATCCATATAGAAAACATAAAAAAACAACAAAAACACAAAATTAAAAAGTTTTTCTATAGAGGCTCAAAAGCCAATGAGTCCATAAGATAGAAAAGTATCGCACAGAGCTTAGTCCAGGGTTGGTCAGTGTAGCGATGATACAGTTTTCAGATTCAGACAACCTACACATGTATCTATACATGAGGTTACGCAGCACTGCAGGGCAGGTAGGCATACCTGCATCTACAAACATTTTGCTTGCACTGCTCCATCGAGGTACCCTTAGCAGCATCCGCATGCCATCATTATATGCCACATTTAGTCTATACATCCTGCTCCTTTCATAACGTCTCTACAGGTGAGCGGTATACATAGGAGTGCAGTAGGCCTTAAACAGTTGGATCTTAACTGATTTTGAGCACAGTCCGAACCTACGGATCAGCATGTTAGCTTGTCCATAGAGGAGCACAAGGAGCAATTTGTTTCACAGTCAGTAGTTGGGCGGCTGTGGCTGAGTGATTAGAACAGTCATCCTCCAATGCGAGAGTTGGGGGTTCGAATCCACCAGCAGTCACATGCCGAAGTGTCCCTGGGCAAGACACTGAACCCCTCATTGCCTCAGATGTGTGTCCCATCGGTGTATGAATGTGATCTAAAGCACTGATTAGTCTCTTTAGAATGATTTGTTCAATTAGTCTTTGTAGAGATCTAGTAGAGTGCTGTATGAATGGGCAAATGAGGCACAGATTGCAGTGTAAAGCGCTTTGAGTATCTTGATCAGATAGAAAGGTGCTATATAAGTACAGTCCATTTACCATTCCATTTTAGTTAAACAAAACATCCAGACTAGACAAGCCATGAAGACAGTAAAATAACAGAGATCATCACTGTTTGTTGAGAAGCCTGATCACTACAGGGATGAATGAGTTTTTCAGTCTGTTCATCCTACATCTGGGCAGCAGATACCTGTGTCCAGAAGGAAGCAACCTGAACTCACCATGGAGTGGGTGAACAGGATCTGCCAGAATCAGCCTGGCCTTGTTCACTGATCTCATATTGTGTAGGTCTGTGAGGTTCTGTAAAGCTTTTTCTGCACATCCTGACAATCCCCAAGAGTTTATTCCTGATTTTGCATGTCAAAAGTCCAAACCAACAGATGAAGGTGAAAGTTAAAGAGACTCAATAAAACATGAATAAAACATTCTCATAAAAGTTGAATCAACATTAAACCACAGAGCTTCAGGTAAAAAATACATTGTCAGCTGGACCTTCTTACAAAGTGAGTTCACATCATGGGGGTCAAAGGGCAGTTTGTCATCAAGAACAGTTCCCAGATATTTATATTGACGCACCACCTCAACAGCTTCACCATTAATGACCACAGGAGCTGCAACTGAAGAGTCTTTTCTGAAATCAATGACCAGCTCCTTTGTCTTAGAAACATTTAACTTTAAAAAGGAAGACTCAACCATTCAGTGAAGTCCCCGACCACAGGCCCGGGGTCTGTGTCATCACTGCTGAGAAGGGACAGGATGACAAAGTCATCAGCGAACTTTAAGATGTGACACTGTGGAAAATGGCTGCAACAATCGTTTGTATATAAAATAAATAAAAAGGGTGAAAGAACACAGCCCTGAGGGGAACCGGTAGAGGACAGAAGGATATCAGAGAGAACGCTGTTGATCCTCACCCGCTGAGACCGAACAGTTAAAAAGTCCACAAGCCAACAGATGAGGCCAGAGTCGAGACCGTACAGACGTAATTTCTCTGATAAAATGTGGGGCAGAATACAGTTAAAAGCAGATGAAAAGTCAATAAAAAGCAATCTTGCAAAGGTTTTTGTACCTTCAAGGTGTCCTAACACAGTCCAACGTGGTCATTCCACAACACAAACCATTCATTCCCCATTGCAGACTAGTCAATACCATACTTTGATTTATAAAGCACTTCACAAAACAGCCAGCCAGCGTTGTACAGTCAAACAAACACACACAGGGCAAGGGAAAAAACAAACAAATGTACAAAGGTAAAAAAAAAATAAAAAATTTAAACGAGCACTTGAAACAAATCGCACAGTGACGTTAGTCATCTCACACAGGATGACATGCCACAGAGTAAAACAGCAAGTGATGGAGCCTGCCTCGCCTGCAGTGGGAAACCATTGCAGATATTTGGACCTGCAACAGAAAAACTCCATCACCTCTGAGCTGCACTGTGTCCTTGGAACCATTAAAAACATCTGATTGGTTGACCTCGGAGTGATACATTCGACTGCAGTGACGTGTATTAAAACACATCACTAGCTGAATCTCAACGCTTGGACTTGAAGCAGGTTGCCACGTTTTTTCACATCTGGACCTGGATCACATCACTACCTCCCCACACTCAATCATGGTGTTACATGACTTTTTAAAAGCTGACAACTATAATCACAGATAAACTTATTGGAAAAAAATTATATTTGAACAGACAACAAAATTAGATCTACATGGATCAATACCTAAAATAATTTCTAAGGTGCTTTTTATTTTATTTTTTTTACCAAGAGCAAGGTCCCGTTGTTTACATCATGTGTGTCCAGTCCTGGTCCTGGTGGACCACTACGCTGCAAGTTTTACACGTGTCTCTGCTCCAACATGCCTGGTTCAACGGGTGATGAACAGGTTTCCACAAAACATGAAGAGGTAATTCAACCACTGGACCAGGTGTGTTGGAGCAGAGAAACAATAAAACATGGAGG